GCATTGTGAAGCATTCACATCACGTTTAAAACAATGTCTAGCCGGAATAGGCACATCACGCGCAGAAGCCCTAACCCCTGTGCACAACACGTGGCTGCTGCGTTCCCACGCACGTGCGTAAGCCTCAAACTCATGCGTGCAAGCCTTCAGACTGCCGCACGTGCTTGGTCGCGTGAGACAGGCACCGACGAGAAAGGCTAGCTGCCTGAACCCCGAGGGGCGGATACAGGGCGACTCAGGTCTCATCAACTGCTCCCGGCGCGCTTCATTTCATCCCACGCAGGAGCTGCCCTCACACGTATGTCACGTGAAGCGTCACGTCTTACTTATGGCTTATGGTGTTGAAACGTCCAATAACTGAAAGCTAACGTGGGAGACTGTGCTACGAAGCCGGGACCGATAGATGTGTGGCACGTGCGCCGTCCCCGCGCCGCACGCGTGTCGGACCGGGATGACCAAGGTACCGTTTGAAGTGTGCTAAAGACCAGAAACTGTAGATAATTGTTATCAATTTGACCACTTTCATTTACATCCAAAATGTAATCATCGATACGCATGATGATTTCCAAACCGAGGATATGCGTTCAGAACCGGAATTTAAAAGGGTCGTACACGTTTCGGCTGCTGCTGCTTTGTTCTTCCACCCAGGGCCGGGCAGGTCGATACAACGCTTTGGGTTCCGAATCCTTTGCGTGTCGGAAGCAGCGAGCTAGCCGACTGAAATTCGGTCAGCGTCACGAAGATTATCAAAATGCACCCCATTTAGGGCGCTGAATTGTCAAAATGCTGGTGTAGTACACATATTCGACTTTGCCTCATTTCCTAGTGATCCAATGGCGGCTCGGGTGGTGTAGTGTAGTGCGGGGGCGGGATTGGATATTGACGGGAAAGCTTCCAAATCGGCTTCGGTCGAACCCAGCCGGCAGGGGCTGCGTCTTGCGCATGGTGTTTAAACACAGATTGGCACCCAGCTGGCATTGCCGCCAACATACAACTGCTGCACCGATAAAGTTTAGTGGAAAAACATAAAGCACACGCCAGCCGACGAGCAGTTATATTGCGATCCTGAAAGCTTCAGTGGCCGCTGCATGAAACGCTCTCTCTCTCTCTCTCTCCCCCTCTCCCTCCCTCTCTCCCCCCCCCTCTCCCCCTCCCCTCCTCTCCTCTCCCCCTCTCCCCTCCTCCCCTCCCCTCCCCCTCCCCTCTCTCTCTCTCTCTCTCTCTCTCTCTCCTCTCTCTCCTCTCTCTCTCTCTCTCCTCCTCTCTCTCTCCTCTCTCTCTCTCTCTCTCTCCTCTCTCCTCTCTCCTCTCTCTCTCCTCTCTCTCTCTCTCCTCCTCTCCTCCTCTCTCTCTCTCTCTCTTCCTCTCTCTCTCTCTCTCTCCTCTCTCTCTCTCTCTCTCTCTCTATTCGTCTCTCTCTCTCATCTCTCTCTCGTCTCTAGATTCGCTTACACGGCTCTCTCTTCGGGCCTGCGTATTGGCAGCCTTATGTAACACACACATCAAAAGAAGTGCATATCAATTTCCAATTTCCTCCATGCTGATATGCAGGCGCGACGCGCGTGGTCGTTTTTTAGTCGCCGGTCGGAGGCTGGCGGCAGCACGGTAATAAAATTCATCGTGACCAAAACCAATGTGCATCGCACTGGTTTTCCACCAGTCTATCGTGGAGCCAGGATGCTCTACAAATGCAAGCTAATGCATTAAAATGCCACTGCAGGAAGACGCTGCCGATTCCAAGAGAGTGCGTGGCACGTGCACATGTGCGGCGTCCCTGCACGTCACGCGCGTGCCTGACTGGGCAAGGACACGTGCCATCCGAGCCGCGCTCACGGCAGGAGGCTGGCGAAAGGTGAACGCTGTTCAGCCATCTGCATGACGTAGCTCCCGATAATTACTGCCAATCTCCGGAAGCGAAGGAGGGTGGTTGTGCACGTGACAGCGCCGCCCCCGTAAGCGCATCACTGGCTGCACATAAGGGATGGCTGTGTTTCTGAGGCGTACATCAGCGGTCGCCAAGCAGTGGGCTGGTTGCGGCCCAGTACCCAAGGCATATCGTGCCAGGGACACTGGCGTCGCGCCGTCAAGAACGGCGTATTCGCCAACAAAGAAATGCGTAACATTGGGTATCTTCGGGAACTGGCGCGAGTGTATCCACCAAAGCAAAGCGGACTAACCTGCCAGCTGCTTGGCTGAGAATGATCGGGTAGCGCTTGAGGTACTCTGAAACAGAACGAAGCAATATGGCGTCAACCACCGGACCAGCGCGGCCACAGCAGAAGTGTCGAGGACTCCTTTACAGCGACATACTTCAATGATTCACGTAAGCATCAACTAAAACATTAAGTAGCGCACTTCTCCCAAAGGATGTCACCGCAGTGCTCTATACCACACAATGACGCACGATATAAAAGCTCTGGAATAATTAATTAGTTCATTAGTGATGTCACTACGAACATGGACGCTTGACCGACTGCAATGTCTAAAGAACCGCATTGCACTCGGAACCTGAATTCAATCGATTTGGTAGCAAATACACAGTATTTAATAAATACACAAGATATAACAAATACAGAAGTTGAATAGGTCACTTAAATTAGGAACTTTGTTTTTGGTACCATCAAAAAGGGGTCTTATTCCACATGGTGCACTGCAAGGGAGCATGCCATTTCGTGTCGCAAACAGTGCTAGGAGCAACCTAGCTTTCTCAGAAAACAAGAATAGACCTCTTGTGTCATGCTACGCACGGCGTTATAAAAATATTTGAGATATCAGAGGTAGAGCCATGGTCCACGCTTGCACCAAGGAACCAAATATGTTGTTTCTTCACATATTAACTGCCATACCTTGCGCTTTAATGAAATGCTTTAAAAATGGCGTTACCCCGGTTTTGAAAATCAATGGTAGTTTTAAGCCTTTGACAAGAGACCATGACAATTTTACATAGGTAGTTCCGCTGACACGAATAAGCGCCGTCAAAACCAGGCATCGCATGTGAGATGCCAGAGGACCCCAGATGCGCCATACCTCTCGACGTGCTAGATAACGTGTAATACAAATGCAGAATTCCGTAAAACCAGGACAACTAGCAATTGACCTAACGCAAATGAAAATAGTCACAACGAAACCTGAGGCGAGAGGCCCGACTTCAATGCGCCCTCGACGACCTTGTGGGCCCGCAAAATGCGACCCTTACGTCCCTTTGACCGCATCGCGCATACAGACATTATAGCATTTGATAAGTTTTTACACGTCCGCCGAGGAAAAGTACAAGGGATTTGCGACCAGCCGCCGCGTCCACAGTAAAGCGACCCTTGGGTTGGCAAACAGTGTATTGCCTTGGTGCGCACACGTGAATGGAAATTGGCGTACAGACTTGACTTAGTTGGCACCTGCTACTTTGAAACGGTTATTTTTCATCCCTTGGGTAGATGAATTGCAACCAGACAGTGGAAAAACCACGCCCACAGCTTAAAATGAGTTGAAAAAAGAACAAGGGCCTGTGTGACCAATAATCCAGTGGTCAATTACAAGCTATGATCAGAGCGCACCAAAACACCAAAGCATGGCACAGATGCATGGGATGTTACATAGTTAATATAATGCACAACACAAACCACATACGCAATTTCGAAAAAACATCCCCACACTTTTTCAAATGACACGCATATCTGTGATCACCGAGTGCTGCGCTTTCGGACGGCGTGCTTCCCGTTCACCTGAAGATGCGGACCATTTTCAGCGGGCCGCGCAGCTCTGCAACCGTCACGGAGTGACGGCTACTCCGGCCGGCATGAAAAATACCCGGGGGCATGGCGCGACAAGAATTGAAACCGGTGCCTACCGCGTGAGGGGCTGCGGACGTTAGCGGCCGGCCGTCGGCCCTCCCGTGTGAGACTACGGGCGTCAGCGGCCGGCCGTCGGCCCCCCGTGTGGGGACTACGGACGTCAGCGCCCGGCCATCGGCCCCCCGCGTGAGGACTACGGACAGTCAGCGGCCCGGCCGTCGGCCTCCCCGTGTGAGGACTACGGACGTCAGCGGCCGGCCGTCGGCCCCCCCCCCGCGTGAAGGACTACGGACGTCAGCGTCCGGCCGTCGGCCTCCCGCGTGAGGACTGCGGACGTCAGCGCCCGGCCGTCGGCCTTCCGCTTGAGGACTACGGACGTCAGCGCCCGGCCGTCGGCCTCCCGCGTGAGGACTGCGGACGTCAGCGCCTGGCCGTCGGCCCTCCCGCATGAGGACTGCGGACGTCAGCGGCGTTCGTCGCGTTCCCGTGGTGACAGTGCTGCGATTTCATTGGGGGGGGTGGGGGGGTTGCAACGCTCAAACTTGCTGCTTATGGTAAGTGTTTCACGTAGTCGTTAAGAACGCCCCAATGGTGAATCAACAAAGAGTGTATCAGCCTTCCCCGTCCACTAGTGGCATTAGCCCAAATAGACATCAAAATTTTTGATTGTAACGGCAGAACAAGCCAAACTACAGAAGAACAGGAGCGGTAAAACCACAGCCACCAGCACTCCACATGCTGAATTGGTGCTACCATGGTCTGGTCACATGAAAAAGGTACTAACGAAAGTTTCGTTAGAATTTTGGTTCCCAATCGGTGGCCACACTTTTTTGTTCCCACCCCTATGCCATTCATATACCGGAAAGTTGCGTAATTATTGAGAATAGGAAATTTTGAAACCAAAACCGGTCTGATCAAACAACCATATCCAATTTAAGTTACTTGCTCCAGCCAGAGGAGCCATACCTCGAGCCCATGAGCAGGACACCCCGACGAAATTAGTAAATAATGAACTAAAAGCAATACCAAAAATTACAAATGGTAAAATGACAAGAGACTAACGCATCTTTAATGCACTGGAACGCAAACATGTGCCACTATTAAGCATCGAGCATAACAACCCGTCTACAACGGTTTGTGCCAGAGCCAGCAGCTCCGGAGCTGGAGCCAGCAGCTCCGGAAGCTGAAGCCAGCAACCTCTGCCAGTCTCACCTTGTTGAAGTCGCTCTGCAGCACTCGCTGCGGCCCGGCGGCCGGCTTATCCAGCGTCGGCTCCGAACACGACATGCGTGCTGCCATCTCCAGGTAAAGGTGCGAACTGCGGCGGCGCAGGTGCTGCCGCCCGGCGGTGGCCAGCGGCGGCTTGTCGTCGGCGGCCAGCGGCGGCAGCCGCTCATCGCCAGGAGTGCTGAGTGGCGACACGGTCGGCGACGGCGGTCGCCGGCCGCAGCGCTGCCGCGTCCGCGCCGGCTCCACCAGCTGCAGCGCCAGCGGTCGCCGCATGCCGCCGGCCACGCTGCCGTCCTCGGCCAGGCGGTGCATCTGCTCGGCGCTCTGCCAGTGGAGGGCCGCGGAGCCGGGGGCGGACGGCTCGCCCGGCTCCTCGGAGCGGGCGCGCAGCAGACGCCGCGCCGGCCGCCGCGACATGGAGGTGGTGGCCTCGCGCGTACCAGGCGGGCCAGCGACACGTTCAGGCCGGTCGGCAGGGTTTGCCGCGTGCTCGGGCGGCGCTCGCTCGCTCAGGTCCGACCAGGAGGACGCGCTGGAGGAGGCCGGGCTCGTCTGGGTGGCCACCGAGCGCGACCGCTCCGGCGCAGGAGACACCGAACGCGTGCCGTCGGTGTCGGGGAGGCCGGGCCAGAGCCGGCCGAACCTGACACGGAGCCGGGGGCCGTGGCCGGAGCCGGAGCCGGAGCCGGAGCCGGCCGGAGCCGGAGCGGTGCTGGCCGCTCAGTATGCTCGTCTCCACGCGGTGGAGGAAGTCGGACAGCTCGTCCGGTCGCTGTCGGAGGAAGGCCATGTCAGGTCGGCAGCGGAAGCCCTCGGAGGCGACATATAGCGAGTACACAGGCGTCGCGGCGACGCACAATGATACGGCGGTGCAGCTGGCGCCCCAGCAGCCAACAGCCAGCCACCGTCCGCCGATGGAGGGATAACGCGCAGGTGTTATAACGCACATCGGACGGCACGCCGCTGCTGCGACCTCCCACCCTCGTCACAACTGCTAGCGTGCCACCGGCGCGAGTGCTCAGGCGGTCTGTGTGCAGCGGCCAGCCCTGCCGGCCCGCTACTGTGTGCCGTCATGCTGCTCCGCCCAGGCCACACGGGGCTGAGAGGATCCCGCCCCCGTGCCGGTCGCCCGGACGTCGGCGCGAGGCCGGCCGCGGGGGAGGGGAAGGGGGGGGGGCTCGACCTG